CATGTTTTAAACTTGTATCTGTATAATTTGCTTTCTTTCAGGTCATTTAACCCATTTGTTCCACTTCTTCATTGTTCCATGCCTGCAGTACAGATGTGGTCCCTGTGGGGAATTCACCATGTGTGCTCCAGAAATGGTAAACACCTCCAGGCATAAATTTAAATCAAATATTGTGAAAAAGCTAAACCAAAACTGTGTAGAATTCTTGTTCCAGAGCAGTCAGCTAAAAATTCCCCATGCAGGATTGGGCCTGATTTTCAGAATGGAGTGGGGTCAGTGTTAGAAACTCCTTGTTATCCTCTTTACTCAACTCCTTACTTAGTTTTGCTACACTTGACCTAGCTGCCAGCTACTGTTAAATAATTGTTGCAAATATGTGGGATCCACAGGGCTTCCTTACAAACTGCATTTTCAGAGTACTTAAATACTACATTGTAAAAAAGTCAGACATTTCAAAGACAACCCCTGTGAATATTGATGAAAGGGTTTTTCCCCAAACATGTGACTGTTTTTAACATATTTTAATTAGCAGTCTGAGTTTATGTGCATTTCACTGTTTTTGTCAGTTAGTCTGCATTCTACACAGCAAAAATCTGTCTCATGATAGCCATGCACTGTTCTCATTGTGACTGATGGTAGACTAAGGGCAGTAGAGGTGTATTCAATGGCCATGGTTTGTACATGTAAACCCATGCAAGCCATTACTGTGTAGCAGAAGCATATCACCTAGAATAGGTGATATACTTCTACATGTAGCCATAATCATTTTATTTGATCTTTATTAAAATAACAGTGTGTAATGTTTACAGGACTACCTGATGAACTGGTTTTAATCTTTTTGTGTGTTCTCTCCAACAGGTCCACGTTACATTCCTCTTCTTGTTGATAGTGGAGTCATGGAGAGTGTTGAGAAAATTTGTAATAATCCATTTAATGGAGTCAGTGAGCTGGCACAGAAGCTCATAAATACTGTGACAGATTTCCAGTCATCTAGAAAGTGAATAATGCGAATTGCTTTTAAACAGGCACTGATCATATTTTGTAGTAAACTACATGGCATCAAGAAATTGTATATTTTTGCAGAAAATGTAGAAATAGAATAAATAATTTGCATTTT